TCTCTCTCTCTCTCTCTCTCTCTCTTCCCCCCTCTCTCTCTCTCCATCTCATCCCCTCACTGTTCCCATCCTCATACCGCAAGTGCTATTGATCCTGGTACTGTGGACTGTGACAGCGCCCTTCTCACCCTTGCCGTAACGTTTATTTGAGGACCACACGGGAAATGTAACCTCAGTCACAACATTGAAACAATCGATTTCCAAAGTTTGAACGTTGCTTTCTCCCATTGTGGGCTAAAAACACAATAGTCTTGACGTTCAACGTGTATGCGTTTCTCTTCCCCCTTTGGCAGCGCAAACAGCAGCTTGGGGATATTATCTTAGTTCTCCTTCAACCACTCCTTATCATGTGGTCTCCTTTTCCCCTCCTCCTTCTCGAAGCAGTCATCTTCATCCTCCTCTTCTTTCTCCTCCTCCCCGTCTTCCTCCTCCTCCTCCTTTTTCACTTAGATCTCAGAGACAATGAGATTACGATGAAGAGGACGGGTACATATAATAATTGATTTCATTCCATTTCAAAAAAAAAATTGTACATGTTTCCGCAAAAACAAAAAATATCTGAAAGATTACACCATTACCATCACCACCACAACAACAGCAACAACAACAACAACAAGTTTAATTTGTATTTAAATTATACTTTCCTAAATTTGATTGCCGTTACTATTCGCCGTGGCAAACACAAATCTATATTTGAACATAACGTAGTCTTAGATGTTCCTTAAGAAATTCAAAAAACTGTTTCCTGTCAATAACAAACTCCAGAGAAATGTCGTGCTCTGCTTTCCTTTCCCAACTTTTCACAATCTGCATTTCCCCTTTTATAGGCAACCATAATTTCTAAATCTGGGGACTGAACAAAGGCGAGACCAGTCATCGAGATGAGAGCGATACTCGAGCATACCGCAACCTCCCTAGAGGTGGGCAAAATCCGGATAAACTATAAGGATAACCGGATAATTCTCATTGAACATTTTCCGAATTCAGACTCTTTTAACTCCCTTTCCTGACCCGTTTGCCGAAGTGGGTCCACCCATTCGTTGAAGTGATGCTAACCCGTTTGTCGAAGTGGTTCTAACCCATTTGCCGAAGCGGTTCATATCATATTAATTGCAGAAGAGGTGCACTAACATATTCGAGTTTTGCTAAAGCGACTCACTGCCCAGCCCTAAACCGCCCCCTAACCCCC